GGTGGTACGAAGCTACGGCCCGTAGAATAGGTGGTACGAGGCTGCGGGCCGGTAGAGTAGTTGTTGTGAACATAGAGAGAGAGGTAAAGCTTGGCCGGTATATTCGTTATAGGAAAAAATAATGTAAGAAGATTGTAAGTAATTTTAAGTAATGTAAGCTAAGTAGATATAAAGTATGTTAAGTAGATAGGACAAAAAGAAAAGAAATAGGAAATCACCGACCCAGTGGGGGGAAATTCACAGCCTGTCCACGGCTCGCTGAAAGACTGACGAAGCGTTATTTAAGCCAAATGGCATTGACAAGAACTCATACTGTCTCTCTGGTGTAACAAACGCTGTACGGTTGATAGATTTTGGGTGAATAGGTATTTGGTAGAATCCACTATCCGTGTCCAGACAGAGAAATAATTTTCCCCAATTTGGTCGGAAATGAGAGGCAATGGATACTTATCGGGGACTGTGTTGGCATTTAATTCACTATAGTCAACACATAAGCGATCGGTTCCATTTCTCTTTATGACCAACAGAATTGGACTCGCAAATGGGGAGCAGCACTTATCTTATAACAAATTGTTTCCTTTTCATCTATGCTGAACTGTTATGTTTGGATCAATTAGACGAATTTCCAACTGGACAGTGTTAACGCGACTTTTTGGTATCCCATGGATGAAATGCTCCATGTATGGTTTCAAAGCATTAATTAAACGGACCCAGTCAGTTCTATCTAATTTATAATTTTCGCAACCACAATCTTAAAAAGTTTTTTATTCAGGTTCAACATTAATCAGTTTCACTTTGTAAATGCTATACTCATTAGATCATATTCCAAATATTTGTCCATAACTATGTAAAAAAATATTTCCAAAACGAAATCATTAATAATTACATTAAGCAAAATTTGCGATGAGCTACAAACGAAATCGGTTCCAATGTCGTTAAGGCTTACAAAGTTATGCAATCGTTTTCCAGAACATTTTCCAGCTTCCTTTATGAGTGAACACTCGGCTCCAGAGTGAAATCAAAAATCAACAGACTCACCAGCATGGATAAGTATACCTTTTGGTTCCATTACCGAGCACATTTCCATACGCTTCACTGTGTTCTGAGCAGTCGAAGGGCACACAGTGGAAACATGTCCGACCTTCCCACACTTATAGCAAGTTACAAGTCCACTTTTGCTCTTTTGGTCGCATCCAACAGCTACCAGATTGTCCACCGCTTGATGATTTGAATTCACGATCTTTCTTCTGACGGCAGTCGGCATTTTTATGCCCGTCCCTTCCGCAGTAGTGGCAGATGATGTGTGAGTATTTCTGTTTCTTTTTTTTAGGCCCCATAGTGTACCCTGCGTTCATTGTTTCTTGGCGCTGCCCTATTTCATACACTTTCAACTGTCGCTGAAACTCGCTCTTGACTTAATATTTGTTGTACACTTTAACTGCTTCAGCCTGTTGTCTATGTGTGCAGCATGCGCGAGAACAACCGATACCGCTATTTCCTCCAGATCCATATTTTTCATTTTGGTTATTAACGAAGTGACGGGTCTGTTACCATACGCTGACATGCATGATTCATAAGAGTAGCCGTAGTCGTTTCTACGCCCACAAATCTTTGATCAAATAACTCCTTAAATTGAATCCAGCTTATTCCGGGAAAACATATCAGAGAAAGCCATGGCGACGCACTGCCTTCCAAAGATTTGTTGAGAGCCAAATTTGCGCTACTCTCGATCAGGTTCTCACTAAAAATCATTTCTAGAGTCGAACTCCAAGCACTTGTGCCAGCACCCACAGCGTCGGGAAGTATTTTGGCAAAAACACCGTTTTTGATTCATGAGGCGCTGTGCCTGCCTGCACTGCCCGTAACAACTTCATCAAATGCCTGTTTTATTGCTCAAACATTTCACGCCACTGAGAATCAGGGGGACCCGATCCCACTTCTGATGGCGGATGCTCTGCTGAACTAATGGTTTTTCACTTCGAGCAGCGAGTTCCGATATCTTTGTTGGTTGCATTTAATATTTTCCTTTTACTATTTTTGGGGTGAGCAATCACGTCCGTTCGTTCGTCCGTTCGTCTGTCTCAATAAATTCTTTTCCTCGCATCGCAACGAATATCCACGTAACCAGCGGTATTGATATGTATATATAGTGTTCGAGAAGCTACATGAAAAGTTTAGCTTTTATAACTTGCGAAAAAAAAACTGGATTTTGAACGGGAAAAGTGATTGGGTATCGGAAATAAATACAATTACTGCGCACTAGGAGGACCTATGTTCAAAATTTCAAGTCTCTAGTTCAAGGCTGAGATCCTTGCGTTCATACATACGGAAGGACTGACTAAACACTGAATAAGGGCAAGCGGTTTTGAATCTCTATTTCTCTATTTTTCCTTTCCCAACCATTTCTTTAATTTCAGCATACATTCGTAAGCACAGAGAAACAACTTTTCATGACATTTCTTTTAACGAAAATTGAATGGACATCTCAACATTGGCAACATGACCTTTCTCTTAAATCGAACGAAACATACGATAAGGGTTGCAGCGAAACTTTGGAAAACCTTGTGAAAAAATTGAAATAAACCTTCGCACGAGTGTCACCCTGAATAGCCGTTATATGCTTATATTTATGAAGCTAATCTCAAGTGCCTCGTATTGGTTTTTTGTTAAACACACGGTAGACAACGTTTGTTGACTTTTTTGCAGGAGCGTAACAGTGGACGAATAAAAGAAATAAATAGGCCTGATCACTTACATGCCAGCAGCTTGTTCACTCTTTCGGCAAAAATCCCTCTTTCATAATTTGATTATCTCCGATGGGGCCATGAAATAGGGTCGTGTCTGTCAATCGAATTTTCAGTATACACTTTGGTAGACCGCAACTACCCGAATACTTATTTGTATAAAGGTTATGCAAATTCTCAACGGGTCAAGGCCAAATTCGCTAACAATATCCATGGATCCCTCATCCGAAAGTACAGAACCAACGGCATATACAGCGAATCCCTAAACATCCTGGCCCCAGATGGGAATGCTTTCGTCTTTACAAATGCTAAATAATATTAAAAAATTTTTCGAATCACTATTACTACATTCTGGAATCTTAGCAAACAGGGGTGCACGAAACGATTTTTAAACAAATGTTTATCATTTTTTTGAAATTATATGTTATGTATTAATAAGTTTAAGTGTTTCGATATTGGTTAAATAAAATCAGACCTTAAGACTTAACTTAACCTTTCCATAAGACATTATTGAGATTTCGCTCAGTACACGGAGATGACTACTTTCCATTTCCTTTTATAAGGAAGTCTTAGACTTACTAATTGTATAAATTATTTATCTTTTGCTCCTTTTTCATCATGATTTATATCCACAGCATCAACATCGGAGCGCATTGGCGCATCTCACTTAACGAGCTATAAATATAAATCGTAGCCACCCATCTGTCCTATTTTTTTCAGCTCTTGCATCCAAATGTAAATCAAAATGTGAACAGGTGCCTTTAGCTCAGTAAGGTGCCAACTAAATGCAAACATTTACTTCTGATTTTGCAACATTCTCAGCAAGCATCATAGGGCACAAGTGACAAGGTCCGTCTTCAAGCAACTGTGCTGGCTGCTGGTCGACGGTGTTTTCATAATGCTGCTCTAATAGTTGTGTTGCTCTAAATTTTCAGCATTAAGATCTACAGCTCGTGACGTACTTCGTACTTCTCTTCCGGGAAGACGCAATGTTGAGGCCGCTAAGACCATAACGCACCTATTAAAGTGCGCCTGAAAACTGTTACCAATGGAACATTTTCTGCTTCATTACTAGCAGTGCGATGCTTGTTCTATTAAGCAGAAAATGATAGCGAAGAGTGTCTAGTAGCAAAAAAAGTGGTTATACGTTTTTCTAGACGATGATATGTTGATAGGTGCAGACATGTACAATCAAAACAGTAACTGAGTGAGCCGTCATGCATGCACATTGGAACCTTTTCTTGCAATCATGAATATTTCCATCGATAACTATGAATATATTTAAAATTGCATTACTGCAAGAGATAATATGATCCGTACTTGACGGCTTAAGCTGCATAAATGGTGTAGTATTTGTCATGACGCTCACGACTTAGAGTTCTTAGTCTCTTTGGTGAGTTACGGCGGTCAATTGCAGTTGTCGTTTGTTAACAAATACTCTTCAACTAATACAATGAGTCCTATACTCCTATACAACTCAAGCTTTATTGCGCTCTCTGTCCATCAACCGTGTTGTTAAGCGTGAGCGTTATCCCGGCTACTTAGATATTGTGCACATTAAGGATTCCCAGATTCATGTGTTTGCCGTTCTTTGGGTGTCTAGCTGAACATCCCGAAAGTGCGCGTCAAACATTTAGCCGCCAAGTACCGCCACAAAGTAACATGCCAACCGGACATAAACAGCTGCAGATTAGCGAACAAGAGTACTTTACTTTTAGCAAATCTTAGTAGCATCCACCGATTCTTGATTCTTATTCTTAAGTTATCAGTTATAATCACTTTATTAAACAATTTATTATGTTGGAACGATAATTTATTTTAATTTCGAAATTATTAACATATTCTGATAGTCATATATTTAGACGATATCGATAACATTTTATAGTGAGCAAAAAATGTTAACAACCTCATCTGGAAATATGGAAATATCTGTAAATTGAAAATGACATTTCTACATACATTTTAAATAGAATAAAATCCCAGGTTAAGTATTGAAAACCCGTCTCTTAAATGTTCTATATTCTTAGCTAAACATATTCAATTATATGATTATACAAAGGGTGATGGTGAAGCTTTTCTGCAATACCTTCTAAGTGAACAGCAAATCAACTGATTTTTGTGTTAAGTTCTGATTGTATTTTGAATGTCGGTTTTAACTTCTGATTTGAGAATTGAATATGAAAATAACGGGCGTTAAAGAAACCCTTTTGGAAGATAAGAAACCAGACCTATTCTCCAAATTAAACTTGTTAAAAGTGTGTAAAATCCGTCATGTTATTTACTTTCAAATTTTCATGTTTTTGGCATCTGTAGATGAACTAAAACATACCTAAATTTATCAAATATCAATTTAGATACAAGGATTTTTCCTGTGTTGTTGCATATCTAGTGTCCAACGCTGCGATGCTTAGTGAAGACCCATTTGTGTTACATTTTTACATTCGTTTAAATTTGTAGTACTTAGCTTACACAATATTATTCAGTAAATAGCACTACAGGCCTATTATGTTGAATTAATTGTAAACAATTCATTATAACCTCTACTTATGTAAGTAGTTACATAAAAATAATTAAATAAAAATTGGCGAGAGCTTCAAAATAATTGAGTGTATTAAAGTGCCTTGAAAACTGTAAAAATAATTAAAATACATTTTGATAAAACCTTAATATATATATAATTCAAGAATCCGCAGTCAGATAGTTAAGTATATTGTCTGATGGTATAACATCAATCAAATCAATATAATATACTGTACATTAATTACAAAAAAAAAAATAAAATGAAGTTACATAAATGTAAGTAATAGGCAGATGGGTGCTTCTCTGAATCCACATTCTTACATTGCCATCTTCCTTTTTTCTCATCTATCTAAAATACTATAAAATCTAGAACTTTATATCACATGAAAGAAATATTCATTTGAAAAAAGTCAGCAAAACTCCTCTCGGAACTGGCCGACTTAAAGAATCCCTGAATCCAACGCCAGCTACCTTACATATTTACCTTTATATACAATGCAAACAAACAAACGAACATGTAGCACTCTTCTTGGCGCGCAGTCTACTCTGCGGCTGTTCTTGTTCACATTGCTCCACACTATGGAAATGCATTCTTGAATAGTATTGGTGTTAGTATTCCGATTTAAAATAAAATGAATGTGTGTATACTATACAAGAACCTGCATTTCAAGTTTGGTGTATACACTTTTTTGGTATACGCTATATGTATTTTTAATTATACTACGGTCCTTTTCTAGAATTTCGCATTCGCAAAGACGGAAATAGATAGGTCGACTTAGCACCTTGTCCAGATATTATGGAATGGGCGACGCTTCCTTCTGCCTTTTACACACATTTCTAAAAAGCCATTGTATTCTTATGAACAATTTTCAATGGGTTATGGATATAAAATAGTTAGATTCAAAGCAAGCTCATTGGTGATCGAATCTATCTATCAATAAACATATGTATTAAACATATTTTCATGAAATAAGTGAATTGTTGTTGTATTGAGCATTTTAGTGTTTATACATTTTTTGTTTTCAATTGCTTGAGGCTAGATCTTAGTGTTATAATAACAAACATAAATTGTTTATATTTACAGCTATTGGAGCACAAACCAATTACAAGAAATGAACAGATTTCTTAAAGCACTGAATACCATCACAATAATTATTGGGTGTACTATATGTCTTCTTGAGATCGCCTTATTTTAAAAGCTGGTGGGCTCTTTGATTGGCAACCTCTATTCTTGCTTCATTTGATTCGCCCTGAAAATAAACACACAAATGTAAGTGTTATTTTAATACACGGTCTAAAGAAAGGATTTGCGAACAAACGCTGTTCATAACATGAGAAAGAAAGAAATAGATAGATTCCTACTGATTAACATTTTAAGTCATGTCACGACTATACAAATTGGCACAAAAGAATCATTCTCGAAATTCGATATATATTGAGCATCAATTTCAAATTTGTATATAAATAAGACAAGTAATAGGATCTAGTTTGGAGTTGCTAAACAATCATCTATCAACACAAAATGCGGCTCGCGCTACGAGCTCTACAGTAATAAAAACAAATAAGAGGTTCTAGTCGGGAGCTCCCGACTAGAGAATACCCTGAACCCACTTATTCCAACACCAAATAAATTAAAAACAAGTAAGAGGTTCGAGTCGGGAGCTCCCGACTAGGGGATACCTTGAAACCTCTTCTTCCAATATCAAATGCATATATATATTGTATTTTAGAAGCTATCTGTCAAGTTTGGTGACTCTAGCTCTTATTATTTACTAAAATTGCCCAAAAAAATATATCTATATCGATTTTTATCAATCGCTTGGAAACGAAGTAAGCTATCGATTATCGGAAACTAACTCGATCTGCGCGGGCACTAGGAGCACCTACATCTAAAATTTCAAGTCTCTAGCTCTTATAGGTTCTGAGATCCTTTTGATTATACATACGGACGGACGGACAACGAGAGAGAAGGGCTAAGTTTGGCATGCCAAAGATTTAATACCCTTACAGACCCAACCCTTTCATAATGATCATAGTGGTTGCCCGTATCTAAGAAGCAAAGGGAAAAAAGTTAATGACGAGTTTAGTTAGGATATCTTGAAAAACAAAAAAGTTTTTCATGCAAGAACCTACTTTTCGGTCGTTCCAGCTAATTCCGACACGTGTACTGCGTACATCAGAAAAGAGCACTTCTGCAAAGTTTTATATAGATAGCTTTTAAGCTAAGTGATTAGTTTGCACAGAAGCAGACAGACGGATAGACGGAAATGGCTATATCGACTCGGCTGTTGATACTGGTGAAGAATATACATTATGGGGTCGGAGTCTATACGTTATACATTTCACGACAAAATAATAATACTTTCTGCTGGGGTATTGTAATGTGTATATGCATTAAATAAAACCCTCTATTTGCATGCAATAACAAACATAAAGCCAAAAGTGCAGAGCCGGACTGCTAGTACTCTGGCTGGCCGTTTAGCTGACGGCGCATATTCCACGCTTGGCTTATATACCAAGAGTACCATACTTGTACTCATTAATGCATGTACATACTATAGATTTTATATTTTAATTATGCTCTGCTGCGACATATCTATACATATAAGATTACCTATATCTTAGGTTTTGAAGCGGACAGAGTTCCGAATAATGAACATTCCAAAAATGATAAACCAGCACAGAAGTGCATTGATCTTTTTCTTTACATGGCGACCGTGACAAGTGTCAACCAACGAAGGAATATTCTATACAATACCATCTACAATAACAACAGTGACAAGATAGGACAGCAGCAGCAAAAAAACATCTACAAAATCAAACAATAATCCAAAAGAAGCCGTCGCTTGGCAACGACGCAATCCGGAAACAAAACACTACTTGGTATGAATTAAAAATGTACACTCAACATACACCCACCAGCCGCAACCACAATAAGCAGCAACTTTAATATCAGAAGGAGCTGCAGCTACAGCAGCAGAATCAACAATGTTATATGGCAAACAATGAACTAAAAACACCGACGTTCGCAGAGGGAGCACCAATAACGCAAACGGATGCTCCAATAATCAAGGAAGCGCTGGAGACAAACCTGCCAGACGGATGCAGGCCTATCACTATAGAGAAGTACAAGAAAGGGATTGCTGCGAGGGAGCGTCAGCGTGCCAGCACCGGCGACGACAAGCTGACGCATGGGAAACAGCGATGAGACGAAAAAGCCAAACTTATCAACCTGAGAAATCTAGTCATCGCGTTGTTGAAGGCAAAAGTCGAGGAGGAACTGAATCACATCAACACCCTGATGCAAAACAAGAGGAAGCGGAATTACAAATGTTAGTGCCCCGCTTGATATTTTTAAGTACCTTGATAGTTACGAAAACTAACAGTTGTTTCAGTTCAAATAACTAACAAACACTTTGTAGTATAAACATCAATACCCAGTAAAATAATGTAAATTTGACATTTGCTAATGTAAGTTGCAAAGTGTTATCCTTTTGATTTCATAAAATTCATTTATAACACAAATATAAGAAGAAAGATAAAGTTTCGATTTTAATATCACAAGTTAATTATTCAAACTTATGATTTTCAAGTCAATTATTCAATTTTTTATATTTCAAGCCTTTAAAACGGAGGTATTATTCAGACTCCATAATCATTTCCCTTCATCCACCATTAATAGACCCAAAGACGGTGGATTCCACCGCTAACCTTGTATATAAAGTTGACGTGGAAACCCTAGACTTAAGAATTTAACAGTTCTCCTGGTCTTGTATGGAAAGAGTTCAGCAATTAGTTATTGCAACTCCAATAAGTTTATACGAACTAATGTATCTATATATGGATACTTTCAATCTCGGCCACTTACCTCTGCTTAAAAATGCAAAAAGGAATAGTATTAGTATTATACAAGTGATATCAGTAATAAAAGAACACCCAATATTAGGCAAACAGATTTTATAGTTGTGTGTTTTTGAATACACACAACTAATAGAGCACCCTATTTTAGGACCTACCGACATTATTATTGCGCGTTTACACAGATAAATTAACAATGTCTATAAATGGAATGGATTTGAGTCCAGTCGTTACCATTCTTAGGTAACAATCTGAGTAAGCTTTCCCAAACTAGCCTCATCGCTCTTACCAGAGTTTGATGAAAAGGCAGGAAAATTACTAAACTTCAAAGAAGCTTTGAGTCTTATAGACTCACTAAAAAAAGATCATGAAGCAACAGCTGTCAGTCTTATTAAGACAAAACTTTAAGGCCATGCGCAAAACTTGATAAGCGATGTGAAAAGGGGCACAGCTGGCCGGACTGACATATAAAACACCTCCATCGGTCGGTGATGCTATTTTAGCATATAATTCTATTATTTATTGTATAACCTATTGAATAATGAGGAAGACCCTCGTTTGTCGACCATTAATAAATAAAGAAATAATAAAAAAAAAAAAAAAAAACCGCCGAAATAATATCAAAATTATCAAGAACGGTAAATGGAGAATCAGTTAAAGTACTATCAGCTTAACTCCTAAACCTACAGCGGCAGAGGTAATTATAGAGGCCGACCATACAACAGTGACGGCTACAGAAATAACAATAATAATGGTAATAGAAACAATGACAACAGAGGCAATCCTAGGCGTGGCTCATATAGAGGCGGCTCAAACAAAGGAGCCAGACAGCAAAACCAGATGCGAGTTACACAAGGCAACTCGGAAAACCAACAAACCCCCTTGAGCAAGATAAAAAAAATTTTACATATAAATCTAAGTCTCAGTTGTCTCATCAAGATACACAATGGGAAAAATAATATACCATTAACTCTGCTAGTAGAAACAGGAGCAAATGTCTCAATTTTAAAGAATAATAAAACAGATATAAGTCAAGACCTCAAAACAAGTATGACAGGAATCGGACAGGGAACAATAGAGTCAATTGGACAGTCAACAATTGATCTACTTTTCGATTACTTCGTAATCAGTCACTATTTCCAAATAGTCCACAATGAATTTCCCATATCTTGCGATGGAATTCTTGGACTCAAATTCATCAGAAAATTCAATTGCATAATAAATTACCAACATGATGAACTCATCATGAAACATGAACCGTTATTACATAGCGATATTGATAAAAATCACGCTTTTGACAAATAAAGATACAGTTCATATACCAAACCAGGAAAAACAGCCTGGGGTAATACTGGAGAAGAGTATAGTAACAAGGAATAGCCCAATAGTCCGCAATTTAAATACAACTAGTAAACATAAAAATTCAAATTGAAAAATAAAACATAAAGTTACTACAAGCATATGACATCAAAATAAATAACATGAATCCAGCAATAGAACAAATGAAGTCAAAAATAAATTAAAATTACTTGATCACTTTGAAAACAAGTTTTTGATTTATGTACCAAATTCAGTGACATGTTTGGTCTAGAAACAAGTAATAATATTTATATCCAAAAATTAGGATTTGCAGACTAAACTACAGAAATGCAGAAACAGAAAGGCCAGAAACGGACAGGCAGGTCGAAAAACTAATAAAAGATGGTATAGTAGAATCAACTTTATCAAAATACAATAGTCCACTTCTGTTATTACCCAAGAAATCTCCCCCAAATTCAAAGGGAAAACAATTATGAGGTTCTCGTCGGGAGCTCCCGACTAGGGAATATCTTGAACCCTCTTATTCCAACACCAAACTAATTTAAAAAAAAAGTGCCCTTGGCAGGGTTCGAACTTGCAACTGACCGCTGTCGACTCTACTGAACAGCCACACCCGCAAAAATAAAAAAGTACTTTCCCCGGTAGGGCTCGAGCTCTTATTATATTCAGAAAAAGTCAATTGCATTTAAATTTTGGCTTAAATTGGTTGACAGTAAAAGTTGGGAGAGGGGGCGATAGGAATAAAATAAAAGATACTTGACATATATATAATATTCTAGAAGCAACATATGATCTTATTGCTTACACAATTTGCTCAAAAAACATGATGTCGATATCGATTTTTATCGATTGCTTGGAAACGGAGTAAGTTATCGATTATCGGAAACGAACTCGATCTACGCAGGAACTAGGAGGACCTACATCTAAAATATTAAGTCTCTAGATCTTATGGGTTCTGAGGTCCTTGCGTTCATACATACGGACGGACGGACGGATGGACGCACGGACAGACAGACGGACATGGCTAGATCGACTCGGCTATTGATGCTGATCAAGAATATATATACTTTAT